GCCAGAGGGAGCAGCAGGACAGGGGCCCTGGCTGCACTCCGTGTCACCACCCCCATAGTAGCCCCCCTCCTTGTTCACTTACCTAAAGTCTCTGTCAGAAGCTTGGTGTACACCTGCCCATGAACTGGCTTGTGAATTGCCTGCAAACTGCTCCTGTGTTGGCAGTCCCTGTTCACTGGGACTGTGCTCTAAGACAACTGGCAGAAGTTTGTATAGTCTTTATTTTAATAATCTGTGCCCATTGTGCATCTTGCCTAGGTACACACCTTGCTGAAAAAACCTCAACCAGCAGCAGGGAGGACTGAAATGAAGAGCATCCTTAAAACAGAAGCCTTTGGGTCGAGCAAGAACATATTGGCAAACCAATAGAAACTTAATATTTCGTCTCCAGTTGTTGGTAGTGTTACATTATAAACTTCAGATACTTTATTGCATTTGTTCTCCCTTTAGTAAAAACTTAAGGATTTTTAAACACTCGATGAATCAGTCTGGCACACCAAAGGCTATTCCATGACAAAAATGTGTGGAGGTTTTAATTGCACAAGAGTCAGTAAATGCAGAGAGATTCCCATAGCACCTTTAATTTTATCCCTGTTTGTTACACTAGGATATTACATAAATCTGCTGTATCGGGCAGGCTTTCAGCATTTGCTTTTCATCTTGAGGCCTCCATTTAGTAACTGTTCGGGTCCAGCTAAGGTAGTGCTACAGATAGAGAGGCAAGCTGTTTTAATATAAAGAGCCTATAGTTGTCCTCAGAAAGAAGTGTTTTGAGTATTAGTCAGCTGACAATTCAGATGCTGAGTAAAGGAGTTAAGCACCTAGCACTAGGCTCTTTAAAAGAAGTCTTAGCCATTCTCTTTGCAGATGACAGAAGCAGGAATCGTATCCACATCTCTTGTAAAGCACTACCGCTAACCCAGCAGCAGCCAGAAGACAACATGACTTATCTAATTTTGAATAAGAACTAACAAATTGTGTACAGATAATCATCCATTCAGAAACTAACCAGGCCTCACTGTGCTTAGTTTCTTTTTAAAGCCCTAGAATAGCACACACACATAAACTGGCATGCAGATGAAAATTCAGGCATCACAGTCAGTGCTAAATGATGGATGTATTCAGACTGCTGCACTAGGATAGTGCCTTATATTTATATTATTAGTAAGGACTTACCTTAGGGCCTGATCCAGATCTAGTTTAAAAAAAAATGAAACAAGCTGTTGATTCTTCTTTTTCATTGCCCTGGCCTGACACTTGTTTTCTTCCCTCTTAAAGAAGTCAAGATGATTATGAGGAACCACAGGCCAGATGGCAGCAATCTTGCAGCTGGTTTCATCACTGTTTATGGTAGTTAAGTTCAGGAGCTGAGTGTGGATTTGAATTAGGTCATATCTGAGGATAATACAAAAAAACAACTAGGTTACATTACATGGCTCAGGGATGAAGGCTGTTGAAAGGCCTGGTTTGATTCTGGGAGAGGAGAAAGGAAGAATTAAATACCACACCAGCCCCCTTATTTGCTTCAACTCTTGCATAATTTTAAGCGAGATGCAGTTTTTCTCTATGAACTTTGACCCTAATTCTGTGCTAGCTTGGCCCACTGTGAAAAATGAGCATAAAGCCCTTTTAGAGGAAGGAACTGTTACATCTGTGCAAAGGGCAGTAAGCTAGGTCCTTAAACATACAAACAGCTGCACATGTGACAGACAAAGGTTGATCATTCTAGCAGCTAAAAGGACTCATTACTCAGGTGAGTAGCCTGTAGAAACTTGACACTATTGAATCTGGTGTAATTATGTAGGCTTTTGCCTTAATTCAAGTAAAAATCACTTGTGGTTGCCAATGATTATCAGATAACTGATTTAACTTTCTTATAGGAAGATAATACATAGTTCTTGCTTCATGTCTTGCTGTAAACTAAGTATAGATGTAAAAGGGATTAAGTGAGTATCTAACTGATAGGATTTATGAAGACTTTTATAAGCTGAGTTGTAAAATGGTTGTTGCCAGTCTGGTGGCTGTTCCATGATTGATAGGAGATGGTTTGGTCTCTGTCCAGCTATTACAGAAAGTGACCACATTCAGTGAACACCTGTGATTCAGGATTGAAGGCCCTTTGCTGGCCTACCCAGAGGAGCCATCAAGTGAAGGGGTATGGACACAGGTATTTTTATCAGAGTTAAAATACACTGGTATGGCAGCTAGGAAGACTTGCAGTGCTGCTTGCCAGCAATTATCTTTCCTACAGAAATAGGTCTCCAGGAGTGTTTGACTCCTTTTGCTTGTACTTTAATTGATTTAAAGCACAATAAAAGAATTTTAACATATGCAGCCTTTCAAAACAAGAGTCTTATCGCAGGACTAACCCAACTCTTGAAAACCACTGAAAGTTTTAACACTTGTATAGTTCAAACTGCCATGTGTCGTCATGTATAACAAAACAATCTGAAATTAACCATGAAAAAATTAAGATGAAGGTGACCTGCAGGGTTTGGGTCAAATTGCCACTGAGCAGCCACAGATCAATATGGTTTGTGTGGTACTTAACAATTTTAATTTAAAGAAGACATGCTCCTTTTGTTCTGCCTCAGACCCGCAAATAAAACGAATACCTGTTTTACCCTTTTGTTTGGCAAACCGAGCTCTTTAACTTTGCAGACTTAATAGTAAGAGCCTTCCTGTGAAGCTTTTCACTTCTGATAAAATTGTAACCCATAAGTCTTTTCCTGGATGATGCCTTTAAACATGTAAGGTTGCTGCTTAATGTTCTGCAAAAGATCCTTTTGGATTGAACCTTCTTCCTTTTGCCTGGGAGCTGCCAAATGGGGGGGTTGTCTGGGAATCCTGTATTCCTAGAACACGGGAACGGCAAGTCCACCTTCTCCCCTGTCCTAATGGCACAGCTGTTGGAAACTGCCCATTCCAAGATCTCAACACTGTCTGATGGCTTTACTCTGAATGTCCAAAGCAGACGTGCATGCTGAAAATAATTTGACTTCCCTTAGGTAGACCACTTGCACATCCAGAGTATGCTTAAGACATGGCTATTTGGGGTGGCTGATGCTGAAGGTCTTAATTTCCATATTGGGGTGAACTTTTAACAGCAGCACTTGCCTTACCCACTCATTACAACTAAGTCACCAGAGTTATGGAAGGAGCCACCTAATGAAGAGAACTCAAAGTTGTTCTTTTCTAGAATGGTGGAATCATCTGGGGTCATGGCAGGTCTTCCAACCTTGGTTTCTGACTTGTTGATTGTAAGTTGTTTGCATAGCAGTTAAAATGAGGCTATTAGTCTTTTGTTACATTTCATTTATCAATGTACTTAGGAGATGGATGCTATCAGCAAAGTTCAGCTCTCCAGGTACTCCATCAGAATCCTGGTTTCCGTGCAAGATATCCGTCTGCTGCCAAAGTCAGTGAAAACGAGCAATAAAGAGGAAAGGAGATACCCTTATCTAACTTTGGCGGTAACAAAACCAGCCTGTCTGTTTTTGGTTGAAGATCACAATACGTTTGGCAACATGAGTGATTAAAAACTCTAGGCAATTTGGGTAATTTCTTAGTTTGACAAAATGGAAGTCCTCTTATTGCTCTAAAAATAAGCTATGGGTGTTGTTCCAGATTCCATTCAGAAAAATTGTACTGATGAATTTCACTAGGAATGACCTTAGCGTAATCCTGTGGCATTGAAAATGGCTTAAAACCCTTCTCTTAGCTTCAAAAAAATGGAAAAAAGGAACACTTAACCTGCCTGTCTCCTAAGTTCAAGTAAAAGGTCAAAGTATTTTCAAGGTTTCTTTGGTTGCAAAGCAATTGTGGATGTTAAGTACTTTTTTTTTTAGCAAAACACATTCCAAAAACTATTCATGGGTATAATATTCTGCTTTGAATATCTATGTCCCTTGCACCACTGAGTATTTGCTTGTTCTGTTTTCCCCCCAGCCATGCACTCCAGGTTCTTGGCTGTCAAACTTCTCTCCTTTTATAGGCAAGTTGAAAGGATTCTGCCTAGATACCAAGGCAGTGATGCATAAGCCTAAAACTTTTAAATCCAAAAATTTTCAACCACTTTTTTTTAAAGTACTTCCTAAAAACTCCTACTGAATGAGATTTTTTAATGGCATGTATTCTTCCACAATGAATTATAACCATTGTTTTGAATATTGACTTGTACCACCAAAAAGGAAAACCCAAACAAATATAGCTCCCTAACTACCTCTCTAACTTCCTCTCTCTACGTACATACCTTGTAAAATAAATCCACAAATAATGAGGTCACGCATTGTTGCTTATATAATTTAATTATGTATTATTGATGTACATTCAGTGTTTAACTTGTCCCATAAAAACTACAGTGCTCATTAACTGAAGACCATAATGCAACCCATAAAAAGTGATTTTTAAACTTACCACAGGCATTGAGTCCAACATAAAACCATGAGGAATAATTCCCACTGGAACCCAACTCTAAGCTTCAAAGTAAAGTATTTCTATAACTTCTCCAGACATGTGCTGTTTCTCTTCCTCTGACAGTCTTTCTCCTTAATATGTGCCTCCACAAAGACTCAAAGGGTAAAGACTTCTTTTGAATGGGCTGTGCTTATCTATTCTCCAGCACCCTCACACAGCTAGCCCTGTGTAGTTTCCCTTGTCCATCTACTAGGGACCCATTTATAGCATAACTAGTTTCTTATATTTTAAAATCCTGGATCACATGTATCAAAATAGCATTATAGGCATGTTGACTACTTTATTACCTGTTGCGTAAATAATGTACAAGAAGGAGCTACTCTTGTCTGGTCCAATGGTTTCAATTCCTTTCCTATTATTTTGACTACAGCTGGATAATTTAACATTTGTGGACATAATCTGAATTGGTTTGAAATGTACAGATGAGTCAGGACACTTGGCATTTCCCCATCAGTTTAAAATGAAACAAACACCATCCTAACTTGCAAATGTCCTTGCCTGCATGTCCCATTTTGAGTCAGTTAGTGTAGTATAGAGAAGAGTAAAGGATATGAATATAGATATCTATCATGGATATGGATGGATGCTCCACTGAAAGACCGGCATGTACTCAGTAAACAAGTGGAAATACTTAGAGAGCATAGAGAAAAAGCCTTCCACCAAGCCTGGCTTTCACTGAGCTTCTCTCAGCAGCTACTACAATTTCGCTCTGCAAATATACAAAACACAGGTTAGCAAAATTCAACTGCATTTCTAAAAAGGGTGTTTTTGTCTGGAGTTCCCTGGCTGTGACTAGCTCCTAGCTTTAGGTTCTGTCAATATTGTGTCAGGTAGAAGCATAAAGAGGAAGAAATAGTCGCACCCTTAACTAGTGCATCTGTCAGCAAAGGCCCTAGCAGAGATGTAGTTACAACATTGAAAACCTTTTTGCTGATATAGTTCAACTAAGCAGAGGAGCCAGTATAACCAATGTGACACAAACATTCTTTCACAGGTATAAGCTACATGTGTTCTTTTAGGGGCTGCCAACACCAGCACAGACTTTGTAGCTGATATGAGGTTTGAGTGACAGCTGGATCTTTTGGTGCCTGAAAATACAGGAAGCAGCTGCTTGTAGAGCAGCCTGCTCTAAGATTGCCTGAAAGGCGTGTATGCTTTGAAAAATGTTTGCCATATGAGAAACAGCCCTTGGTAGTGAGTAACCTTACGGGGGTGGCTTTTTCCAGCGGCATGAGGTCAAACCATTTATACAAGGATTGACATAGAGACAGCCAGTCCTCTTGACTGATTGCTGGTGTTTTTATTACACAGAGCCAGTGAAGAAAATGGACAGGATCCCAATGACTTGGAGTCCTTTGATATGACGAGTCCCTGGGATAGCCTAACTTCCTTAAAGCACCCTGAATTCAGCAGATGAATGGCAATATACATGGTGCCGGGTATCATATGCACATAGTGCAGGGAAATGTAGGCAAGAAATGAACAGTATTTGTTTTTCCTCACCTTTGCTTCAGATTTAACAGTGATGACAGAGCTCCCAAATCTTGATCTTTCCTGCAAAATAAGATTGCTCATTATGTTCCAGGAATATTCACTTAAAACAAGCGGAACTTTCTCACTTTCAAGCAGCTGATTTTCTGGTTACTCACTTCAGGAGAAATCAATACATATTGTGCCTGGAACAGAGAGAGAGAGAGATTATTACTACCACGGTGCTTACAGTATTGTCACTTGCAAAATAAGGGCCTGAGACTCTAGAGCAAAAGCTTATGCAATATTGCCTCTGGACATGAAGAAAGCCAAATTGCATGGATTTCTAAAAGAATGATAGTAGAGGCAACAACATGTCATTTTACTGACACAAAGTCTTAGCATACCAATTATTTATGAAAATAAATAAATGGATGCAATTAATTGATTGTCCTCATGGCAATTTCCTAGTTTTGCTCTTATGTTTTCTCACCCAGTCCTCAGGACAAGGAGAAGTCCATGATTTGCAGTGGTCTGTCACATCACCCAATGTGGTCTGGTTTCCGTTATATATGTAAACACATCCAGCCTCCCCACCAAAGAGTCCAGATGTGATGTCTGTAGTTCTCAGAGGGGATGTCACAATAATTTCATCTGCAAATATTCATCACAAGGGCAATCAAGGGGAAATACCAGACCAAAACAGAGCAGTTGGCAGTTCCATAGCTTTACATCAGTGGTTTCCAGCTTTTTCAATTAAGAGATCACCTTTGACATTTAAAAGCAACCCAAGATGCACCGCTGCCACTTCCCCACCCACCCCAAAAGGTAAATCTGTGGGGAGGGAAGGGGGGCCAGATGGAGGCAGAGGGAGAAAAAAATATTGGGGGGCACATCTCCACAGCAGGTAAGTCCCACCTGGCCAGAGCCCCACTTAACTTACCCCTGCACCTGCCTCTGCAGTGCTGTCCCTCACCCCGGGGGGCCTCAATCTAGCCCTCACCCCTTCCCTTCCCTACAAACTGACCCACTGGGCTGGGGTACGCATGTGCATGCATGCGTATGGGCACTCAGCCCCCCACCCCAGCCCCAGATCGACTCCAAGAGGCTCCGAGATCTACTGGTGGATCGAGACCCACTGGTTGGTAACCACTGTTTTACATCTAATAACAGGTGTCCACAATTTAAGGCAGGGCTGTCCAGCTTTAAGTCCCAGGGGGCATGCACAGATGTTTCCCCCCTTCACTCACTGCTGCACGGCAGCCCCACCCTGCATGTTGCCAAGCACTGCCTTCTCCCCCACCCTGTGCCCACTGCCAAAGGCATAGCTCTGGACTCACCCTTAGCTCTCCACAATGCCACACTGCTCTCCCTTTGGGGAAAAGGCAGGAATCAGCCACAGGAGGGAGTGGGGAGTCTGGAGACACCAGCTGCTACTGCAGCCAAAGTAATGAGGGTAGTGGCAGCTGGGTGAGAGTGGGGATCACGCATTAACCCCTTGTGGGCTACATGCAGGCCACGGTTCACCAGTTGGACAGCCCTGGTCTAAGGATAACATTAAAATATTCTGATTTATTACTGAAATTGTTCAGTTTGTAAAACCCCTTAGGATGTTCATGTAAGCCCATCCCTTGGCAACACACAGGGAGTGCACACGGGTGCACATGCACCCCCTGAAATTGGCCATGCATCCCCTGGAAAGACCAGCCATGAAACCAGAAGTGCCTGCGGAAGTGCACGTCCCGTTTCACCACTAGTGACTTTAGGCTCGGGGATCAGCCGCTAGGGGACCCCCCAGCTGGTGATTTGCTGCCCCCCAGACTCGGGAGGCACCTGTCACTCATGAGCCCATCTATAAAGCCACTGTATTTTGAGTGTCCATGAATGTGGCAGGAGCAAGTCTGCTGTGGCTCAAAGTAAAATTTCACCCGTGCAGTTTTACCTAATCCATCACCATCAAGGTCACTTAAGTGTACAGCTCCTCCAAAGCGAGAGAACTTCCTGTCCCCACTGAAAGTGCTGAGCAAAGAAGGCTTGGTGCTGTTTGTCAAGTCATACATGAGAATAGTCCCAGCTTGGTGTAGTACTGAGGGTATAAACACAATCCTAGATGTGCTGTCTGAAAGAAGCCAGAGTAACAGAATTAGAACAGTAGAGGTATATGCAGTCCCAGGGATAGGCTCAGTATGAATAATACATCGGCAATACCCAATATGAACAGAGCACCACAGAATAATGACATTGCAGAGGCAAGACAGAATTAGGGTAGTAATCTCAGTAAAAATAATCATACTTTCATTTTAAAGAAATATGTAAGTTATAAGACAGGTGTGAGGTAGTTACAGAGCAAAACCTAACCAATACGTTTTATGCTAAGTACAACAAGGCCCAATGGCATGCCCTTGTTGCCAAGATGGCTAATGGCATACAGGGATGCCTTGGTAGGAGTATTGCCAGCAGGTCAAGGGAAGTGATTATTCCCCTCTATTCAGCACGGGTGAAGCCACACTTGGAGTACTATATTGAGTTTTAGGCCTCTCACTACAGAAAGGATGTAGATAAATTGGAGAGTCCAGCGGAGGGCAACCAAAATGGTGAGGGGCTGGGGCACATGACATGAGGAGAGGCTGAGGGAGCTGGGCTTATTTAGTTTGGAGAAGAGAAGGCCAAGAGGGAATTTAATAGCAGCCTTCAGCTACTTGAAGGGAGGTTTGAAAAAGGATTGAGCTAGACTGTTCTCAGTGATGGCAGATCACTGAACAAAGAGCAACAGTCTCAAGTTGCAGCAAGGGAAGTTTAGGTTAGATATTAGGAAGAATTTTCTCACTAGGAGGGTAGTAAACTGGAACAGGCTACCCAAAGAGGTTGTGGAGTCTCCATCCTTGGAGGTTTTCAAGACCCAGCTAGACAAAGTTTTGTCTGAGATGATTTAGTTGGGGATGGTCCTGCTTTGAGTAAGAGGTTGGACTAGATGACCTCCAGAGGTCCCTTCCAACCCTAATTTTCTATGATGCTGATTTTCTCATTAGGGAACATGTGGCCTACAAAGGAAGCACTGTTACACATATAATATGAGACTATGCCTCTAACAGAAATCATTGCAGAAAAAAACAAAACACTAAACAAATTGGCTGCAATACTGATGAGTACTTTGCAACATGTATAAATTTAACACATGGCTATTAAGAAGTCACTTGTAGCTTAGATTTTATAATTCTTGTATTGTGTATGAGAAATAGATGCTGCAGAGCATAAACATCTCTCAGGTTTCAGAAAGACATACCAGAGGTAGGTGCGCCAGCCACCAACACATGTCTTGGGATTCCAGCCACAGACACAAAGCCACTAGCCAGTGACAAACCCAGTTTGCCCATCTCCTATTGATTTTGTTAAACACACAAATTAGTGTCATGGAATATCACTGTGTTTCACATAATTTTTAAGTTCCCAAGATTCTGAAGGAAACATCCTACCTACCCTGTCTCCAGTTACAGCAAACCAGCTGAGTGTGCTTGGCGGGTTGTATGCATACACCTTTCCAATATTCTCTCTGCTATCAAATGAGAGGTGGCAATCTGGACTAGAGAATACAGCATGGTTTTGAGTCAGAGTAATAATAGTGTGTATATATATACCTAATAACATTGCTCATATTGAAAAAATAGATCTATTTTCCTTCATTTGCATCGTATAGTGGGTGCTAGAGCACCCAATAGTATAGTAATTATTTCTATGCCTGTTCTAGTACAGTATCAGTGTTTCAGTACACAAACACTAGTTTCCCACTGCACATCACCTAATAAAATGGTGTCTACCTCATGAGCAAAGCTTACAGGCACTGCCTGAATGTACACAAGTAGTAATAACTCACAGGGGTTGTAATATCAATGTTTTTAGGACTGCCTTCTTGCTACAGTGTTTTTAAATAAAAACAATGCAATGAAGAATTTCTTTCTAAGGAAAAGACAAAGACCAATTTTACCAAGGGAAATGAAGGATAAGAGAACCAAAAATACTATATTAATCTGAAATACTCTGAGCAGGGTATATAATCCTCCAAAATAGAGTTCCCCAGTAAATTTATCAAAACAATATTACTCTATAGTAACAGAGTAGTAGTAGACTTTAATTCAAAAAAAAAAGTGAGAAGGGATTTGTGTTATAGTCACAAGAAACACACCTAATACAGTGCTTCCAGGTAGGGCTACCAATCAACAGTAAGGTTATGTTCTCCATCTGGTGTCTGTCAAGTGAATATCCAAACCAGGCATAGTTCTTTTCCCCGTTCACCATCCAGTCAGCATCCTCTACCGACAGCAGTCCTGACAGACCAGACATGAGGTAAATGTTAAGTCTCAATATCTACCCGGACAGAAAATTGATTATTAGCTTCCTGAATATATAGCTCTTTCAAGAGTCTTCTGTTTTGACCATCCTATGCTATGGTACCAGTTACCACTAAATTATCACATATGGTGAGTGGGAACAAACAAACAAGCTATATAAAGTACAGGAGTGGAGTGAGGTTACCATGTGTTAGCTGCTCCTTAGTGGGTGCATCTACACATCATCCTACGGTGACACAGCAATGTGCTACATAACTAGATGGCGTGCTACAGTGATGTAGTGAGCACGCGGGTCTACACATGATCACTAGCTACATTGCAGGTAGGTTATTACAGTATGAGTGGTTACTGCACCATGTTTTAGGACTTCCAAAAGGAAGTACTAAAGCACAGCGCAGTAACAATGTCACTGTACAATGCCATGTAGACATGCCCAGTGTGTTCACTTCCATGCCACAGAAACTGAAAAGCAAGATAGGGCTAAGCTAACACAGTCTAGCCTCCGCTACCTGTGAGATAGGAATGGATACACAATACAGAAGAGTTACTGTTAAGCAGTTATCCCTCCTCTTCACCCAATACCCTTTGAATTTGGTTAAAAAAACAAACAAACCTCACCGTAACATTAGTTTGGTGGCAAAGCAATTTTCAGTAAGCAGCTGCATTCAGTGGCAAATGATTTATTCAGTGAATTTGGCTGAGTCACCCTAACCTGGAGTATCAAACTCATCAGATCCCACAGAGAAGATGAGAGGCATGGAGCCAGTCCAACAGGCTGGATCAGGCCCACAGACTGACCCCATGCACCACATGCAGCACATCTTGGACTAGCCCTGTGAAGTGTGCACCAGACTGTACCATATGCAGCATGTAGGTCTAGGGCCAGTCTGGGCTGTGCTACATGTGGCATGCGGGTCCAGTATGAGACCCACAGCCAGCACTGCAGGCTGAATGATCGGGCTCCATGGGCCAGATCTGTCCCCAAGCTACATCTTAAATATCCTTGATCTAAACAAACACCTGTAGAATGCTTTCACCTTGTAGAAGCACATACTTAAATTACATTGCACCAGTCTAAACAAACTGAAAGATTTTCATCAGAAACAGGACAAAACAAAAACCATTTACCTAAAACCATAACTCTTTGGGGTTATAAACTAAAGTCACTCCTTTGAGGTTTTAGTTTTACAAACTAAAACTCTGGCTGACAAGTTTTTGCAAATGTCAAAGCAACTCCCAAGACTGTTCCATCTTTATTTGAAACAGAAGTGGATCAAAATTAGTGCCATTTATCAAAAACCCCATACATGCTGATTTTGTTACAGATGGACCAGGTTTTTGCCTAAATCAAAACCTCGGCTGGTGATGTTTTGCATCTCCACATATCCATACCACTATTTCCTTGGTCTGGCCTCCTTTTCTCCCTCTCCACAATAATTAGTCCTGCTTCACTCTTACCCATTAGTTAGTAGTTGTGTTCACTTGCAATTCCCCTTCAGTCACAAGACAGTGCAACTAGTATAATAAAAGCCAGTCTTCTTCCAAAATGTTTTTGTGCCGTTACCAAACTGAGAGAAAGTCCAGTCAAACCCTTCCTGGTGGTTTGACCATCACTCCTCATTGCTACACATCACTTACATGTAACTAGCTATTCATTTTTGTTTTATAACCAAATGATTGCATATATTAGCACTATTTACCTGAGTAGATTATAAACATGCTCATGTTTTTGTGGGCTTACATTCCTATAGAAGGATTGATGACATTTTAGGGAATCACTGGACTTTCCTCAGATTTTAATGCATATGATGCATGGTGCTATCTACCTTGATTTTGGAACTAGATGCACTAACCTTACAACTGAAAATCATACTATGAAATTGAAGTGCATCTAAATTGACTGCTTACTATTCAAGGCATTTACAATATCACAGCATTACTAGAATGATTTTTGTTAACTGGTCTCATAGAGACAGGAATAATTTAATCTTAAATTTTCCTCAGCAAGTCAGTAGGTATCCAGTTAAGATAATACTTGAAACTATTTTATGCTCTTTCTTTGCTTTCAGGGGGTTTGACACTATTGTACATAAGCCTTGCAAGAGTCTAGGACAATTAGTAGATTGTTCATGTTTTACATAGTGGAGAATTTGAAGGGAAATAAAGGTATCAATTAAAATACACATTGCAGACACACAAAACATGGAAATGGTAATTTGCTCAGTAAATATCACCTTGATTGCTCCTGTTGAAGTAGGAATAAAATGCAACCACAAATCCTCTCTGCTTCCCACCACCGGGTGCATAAGGAGAACTGGCCACCAGATCAGATCTTCCATCCCCATCAATGTCAGCAGCCAGCAGAGACCAGCCAAGGTTACAGTAGGTATACTGCAAGAGGTGGTATCTCAATCAAAGCTTGAAGTGGAAGGCAGCCCTCTAAATCAGATTACTGCTTTATTACCATATATTGTATTAGGTCTGATGTTTCTTTTAAAGAGTCATTTTGCCTATCCTAGATCAGGCATATTTCTTTAAGGGGAGAGTGTTCTTTCCCTAGTCCCCCATCCCACTACTCTGGATTAACTGCATGTGAACATGTAAAATGTGGCCATCCCTCACCTCAAATAGACAAATTAGATTCATAAACCAGCATTTCTTTGTATACTAGCCATTTACAACAAGTATCCAAAAACTATTACTTTTTAATTACAGGGTCTGAGTTTGATACTCCTACTCATAGTGAGTAGGATGGCACTCAAAGATAAGAGTAGCAGAAGACAGCAATGTCTCTATGGTCACCCCAATAATGGAAGCAGTGCAGTGCAGATAAACTATCCTTGCCCGCTCTGCAACTGAACTTTGGAATACTGGCCCAAAGTGGGTGGTAGGAGTAAAATTAAATAACTGGTCCTGAAAAAATTGAAGGTATAACTTATTTTAGCAGCACCCTCACAAACAAGACTCTAATAGAGACAATAACTGTCAATACTTTCTTTTTTTACATTAATGGTGTCCTGTTTCTCTTCTATTGCAGCAGACAGCCAAGGTCCCCAAGTAATTCAAATCTGACTGTTTTTTCTCATAGGTATCCTCTGGAGATTAGCCTGTCAAAGTATGACCACTTGAAAAGGAGCAGTTATGGTACAGTAATTTATCCCTCCCTTCCTGTTTCTGTGCTCTTGGATTGCCCTTCTTACTGGTAAACATACCTGGCAAGTTATGGTGATGTTGGGCCGAGATGAGAAGCCTTTTCCTTCAATTCCAAAATATATATACACAGCACCCTATACAGTAAAAAAAAAAGCCAATGCTTTGTGAGAACTTATCTACAAAGGTCCAGTATGAACTTTACAGACAATATAAATTAGCAAAGCAATGAACTCTGTAAGGACCATTAATAAAAGATTGCATTTCTTCTTACAGATTTCACAGCATGTCATCTCTTCTTCCCCAAACTTAAAAATAAAATGTAATACAGGTAGTCCTTGGACTTATGACAATTGGTTCCTGGAAGCCGCGTCTTAAGTCGAAACTTTGTAACTTGAAACCGATTTTCCGATAGGAAACAATGTTATAAACGGGGGATTGGTTCCTGAACCAAGGCCCAATATCCTATTTTCACCAAAAATAACCCAGAATTTTGTACAGTACTCAATCAATTATAGGCAAGTAATATAACTACATTTATTTATTTTATACTGTACTGGGATTTATCTTTTTTCAATACAGGTAGTGCTGTACCGTATCGCATTTTTTTAATTTTGCAAGCCTACATAGGCTATAGTGTGAGGGTCTATAGTCAGTCAAATCTGAAAATCTGAACTGAGGTTTGGTAAGGTAATACAGGCAACTGCCGCTTAGCGCTCTTAATTGGTTCCTGAAAAACCGAGCGTTAAGCAAAACTGAAAGTATTTGATGACCCAAGATGGAGACCACAATCGTTTTTAATGACCCAAGATAGCAACCATGAGCGTTATAATGAAACTCGCTGAATGCCTTGTGAAATCAGGTATCAATTTCAAATGAACATTATAGCAAAATAGTGTTAAGTGAATCAGCCTTAAGTGGGGGTTGCCTGTATTCACAGTCCAAGCCAACAGTAAAATATGTATGTGTAGCAGCCATGACGAATATACTAGGGGCAAGTGAAGTTGGCCTTCAGTCAAAAAAATCATCTAGTTTGATGTGCTCAGACACACCAATGATACTTTTATATTATATTGTGTATATGGTGTGAGTGCCTGTTATAGCACAGGACTGGACTCAATGACCTCATGCTTTCAGCATGTTATTAAACAAATAAATGCAGTGAATATGTAAGGATTTTATGAAGACTCATCTGTTCATCACCTCAGTGCTGCTAGGTTGTGATCTAATTTGGAGCCCTTGTGATTATAGAAATGTATGTGCAAAGAGCTGCCCATCAAATTAATCAGTATACCTGAGGATTATCAACTAAATTTACAATGCAAGGCACAAATGAGAATCACTAGTGAAATGCTGCCTGCCTTATTCTCTCTGAAGGATACCAAAAGTTCTCACTCTAATGCTATTGCTCAGGGTAAAAAAAACAAAACAGATTCTTTTAAATAAATGGGTTCTTACTTTGTAAGTGAGAAGCTGTGACCCTACAGAGGGTGCACCCACCGCAAGATCAGGAACTCCATCCTCATTGAAGTCCAGCACTGATACAGCAGAACCAAACCTGCCTGAAGGCTGAAAAATTATGCAGATGGATTAGCAGATTGTCCTGTGTAGATGTATCAATACGCAAAGTGGGGACATGTGATAGTGAACTGCTTTACTTAGAGACTGTAGGAGAATTACAGTATAAGGTATTAGGTCTCAACTGTTTGGTCCAATTTTGTATGACACTCCTGAGCAAGCTCCTCAAGTCTCATTTACCACTGATGATATTTAGGATACTTACTGTCCCTATGTCTGTACACTCACAAAATCATTGATGAAAGAACAGCTGTGACTCCTCCCATATCTTACAAACATATGAATTAGAAACAATTCTATTTAACAAGATACATACTGGTATGTCCTATGCATCTCTTCCACTGATTAATAAAAGACATTTACAATACAACATGACTTCTATTACAAATTAAATGACTCTTTATTCCTAGTTCAGCTACTCACTCTCAATTCAGCATCACCACCCTGTCACCATTTTCACAGAAGCTTGTGGCAAGTTAGGTTCTCAATTTAAAAAGTGCTAATGGGAACCAGTTAACAGGCTCATGTGACCAAAGGAGTTTGGGGATTGAATGTAGAGAGGGATTAGCATTTCTTTAAGTTAAAGGGACTAAAACTACCTGGGAATTCCTATTCTGTTCTGCATCTTGTGGCAATACTAATCTACAAGGAGTATTTTTTCTTTATAGATAGGTAAGAGATTCCCTGTCCATCATAAACATATATGGCACTCTCAAAATGCAGGCCTCAGCATTAGAAGAATAGACACTGTGCCCTCCAAATTCACATTCAGAGCATAAATAGTTCTGCTGCATATAAAAAAGCAGTGAAAGGCAGTTTTCAACCCAGAGATGCAATGGCCACAGATATACAGATGATATCACACACAGTGGACTTCATGTCAGTCTCATAGAAAAGTACCAGTGTTCATGTGTTTGGTAGAAGAATAGAGTAAACCTTTAAGAATAAAGTAAATCTTTATTTAAATTGCAAAAATAATAAAAGCAAAGATAGTTTTTCTTTAAATGGACACAGCATCCTGTTGAATAGGAGAGACATTTCAGAAACCATAACTAGGAACCTACCCAAATCAAGGAGGAAGGCAACCAATTTCACAGGCAGATCACAGGAGTGGCTGTCATTTTCACAAGCTTAATGCGCCTCTGATTGGCTGAAGGGCCCCAGTGGCCCCACCCCCTCGCCACTGATTGGTTGAGAGGGCTGTCCATTGTACAGTCCCCCCACCCTCACTGCTGATTGGCCAAAGAGGCTGTCCGTCATGCAGCCCTGCCCCCTCACAACTGACTGGCTGAGAGTGCTGTCTGTCATGTGGCCCTGCCCCTGGCTGCTGATTGGTGGAGAGGGGAAGGCAGCCCTCTCAAATAATCATCAGTGAGGGGCAAGAAGAGCCATCTTGGCTGCTCCCTTTCGTGCCAGCAGCCCTCCTCCCTCCTTTCTCCTCAGCAGGCTGTGTGGCTGCAGCAGTCATGAGGACAGTTGGCTCCCACTGGAGAGCCAGCATTTTATTTTTTGTTTGGGGTTTGGTTTTTTTTGTGGATTTCACAGAAATTGCCCAATTTGACAAATGATGCCCAATTTTGCAATTTCCACAAAATCTGCAAAATTGCAAACTGAGTAGGTTCCTAACCATAACTATGCATAACTTGCATAAGAAGTCAATGGAATTGGTGATCAACCAAAGCATCTGATCACAAAATACAAGTCCAAAAAGTTTCAAGCAACAAGTGTCTTAACTCCTTACCTGATGACCCTCCAGCACTTGATCCGCTTCCTTGTTCAGGTTCATATTTACTGGAGGCAAACCTGATTGTTTACTGTAAATTATGTACACCCGTCCTATCTGCACCCAGCCCAATCTGCTGTATCCTGGTGCTCCAACCACTAGATCCTCATATCCATCCTGGTTTAAATCAGCTGAGGTCATCGCCCTGTTTGCCGGTAAGAACATGGTACCAGTTACCCTTCTGCCAGAACCTTCAGCAAACAGCAATATTCACATTTCAAGGTCAACAGATCCACTTTCTGCACAATATTTCCCTGTGACTTTATACACCATTTTTTCAAGTTATACATATTTTCTTGAAAGTGAAAGCTATTCTCTTCAGCAAAACAAATCAGCCTCTGAGGGTCAATTTCCATTAATCTGGCTGTGATACTCATGGAGATCTGTGATCATCAGAAACTGCTTTTCTATTTATTGACTTATAGCACTTCCACATCACCAAGCAGCAACTAAGGAAAGGATCATGAAAAGCTGCTGTTTTCATCTGCCATGGAAATACACAAGATACAAATGGGTGCTAGTCTAGGTCAAGTTCTGATCTATTCACGGGACTTGGTAAAGTCACAGAAACAATAACCTTAGTTGCTTGATGGAGCTTCTAGAATGCAAGTGGTCAGGGAAAGACAGGGTTTGAATTATGGAGGCACTCAGGGGGTGAGCCCCCCATAAAATCATAACCTGGGGGGGTCTCCAATTTTATTAGGGCATTGTGATGGGCAGCCCAGTTTTTTTGCAGACCCCCCCAAGTTATGATTTTCAAATCTTAAGAAGAGTCAAGTTGTAATTCAAATCCTGGGGAAAGAACAAACAGGTATTCATTTGACAAGTTAATTTAGTAGCTGTAAAGGTGGCAGTTAGCATCCCTGGAAAATTAAGTCATTGTTTTTCCATCCAGAGCAGATATAGAAAAAGAACAGCAGCACAAATGTATTCCATTGCACTTCCATTATGTATCTGACACAATCAAGATGGATCCTCTCCTGGAGAGGAGGGTGGATAGACATTGTTCTCCACACAGATTCAATCCATTGTCTACAAAACCTGCTATGGTGAATGCCAATTAGCATCATCAGCAATTGAACTGAGATAACCAATCCATTCTTTACAAGCTGTCAAATGGTGATGAGATGGTAACTATGGTCCCAAGCCAGCCATGGTGTTCAGAACCAGACTGAAAACTGGATTCAATTTTTCCTAATTTTTGAGTAGGAGCAGATTCTCACGACCCTTGTTCATCCTACAGAGGCTAACCATAAAGTTCTCTTTTACGCCTAACTTTTTCCCAAAGACTGTCTTTATCTGGTATCAAGATATTGGTTTAGACCAAACTTTAATAATGACCCTATCAGTACTGATGCAGCCAAAGCCCAAAGTCTCCATATCTCAATGCACTTCAGCAGTGCCCAGCCAAAGCACACTATTCAGCCGGTACTTAAACTACTGGTGAATTTTGCCTATAATGCTACATTTAAACTCTTTCCAAAGAAAAAAGGTTTAATACGTCAATTGTTCCACAAAATAGCCACATAAGGAAGAGATGGAGAGGAGAAAGAAAATGGTACCAACCATCCAAGCCTAGCATAAGGTGATTTTAGGAAGTAGAAGGCTGTAGGTTTGGTGACGTGGTTAGAGGCATGTTGATGTGTGACTGCTAGCACTTTTCGGACATTTGTTGCAAAAGCTCCATTTATAAAATGGAGGGAATTCTGAAAGAAAGAAATTGTTACAAAAGATATGGAGCTATAAAATACAGAAGCATGTGCACATATACATGCAAAGTGTATTTTCCATACTTCTATATAACAACAACAATCTGGTCCATAGCTCAGTCATGTCAATGCAATCATAACGCAGACTTCAGTGGACTTTGGATTAGACCCTAAGAGGTTGGCAGACATTCAATTAATGGTGCAATTTGGATCTAATCCCCAATCCCAATAATCATGCCTCCTGCCATGCCAATGCCGACAATCAAAATAACTTGGCAATCCCCATGCTTGGCAACATTTCCTGCCTTTCCCTGCAGCCCCCAGAGGGGCTGCATGGCAAAGCACTTTAAAATACCTTGCACTTCAAAGGCAAAGCACTTTAGACATCCCCTTACTAGGAACCCCAATATCAGGGAGAGGCTCCCTGATCCCAGTGTCCCCATGTGCCAGGACCTGTAAAAAATGCTCCATGCTGACTGTCAACCTCAGTATGGGCATGCTACATTCAAATTACAGTACCAAACAAATGAGTCACAAAGATGTTCCACATATTTTGTGGAACATCTTTGTGACTGGTTTGCCAGTTTATGGCACCATTAATCAGCTGCACATGCAACACTGTTACTAGCTATGGTGTGATTAACACATCAATCACATTTTAAATGTAGTATGTGCTGGGGGCCCAGTATTACTTCTGATAGAGTTAGAAACTTGACCCAGAGCATAACTGGCCAATCATTCACTATTGTCCTTTGTGTAAGCTGTCTTGACACCTGAGAATGAATAGCTTATGCTGTGAAAAATGAGTGCTAAGATATACAGTCCCATTTTTATACTGCAAAATACACTCACCATATTGCACCATATACACTGATTTATATTGCAAAATATGCTCACTGTCACCTCACCATAAAGAGCAAAATATACATTATTTTCATCTTTAATATGTCCCAATAAATACAGATAAAATAATGGTTGTTTACACCTTTCCAGTAGAAACTCTGTCCCACTCTATAGACTAAGGAACTGCAACCATTTATGGCAGAGACAAATTTTGTACATCTATCCGCTTTTCACTAGTTATCTAGAAAGACTTACTATTGCCCAAGTTTGCCTGAAATAAACTCCTCTCTCAGTATAGTTTATATTCTTATCAACTTCTTTTGCAAGTGAAGATGTCATGTTCTCTTGGTGTTCATTTTTGGACTGTTTAATTCTGTTGAGATAAAGAGGCAGTAACAGATTGACATTTTCCTGAAGGGACCTTAACGTAAATACCCTTAAATGCAATTTAATGAATGGTTTGGATATTTTATGCCAGGACAATATATAGTAGAAGTAAAAGCTCATGTTATATCCTGTGTTAATAGTAATCCCTATATAATGAAATATTTTCCTGACTGTACATCTATTTTGATATATTATATGTTATCACTTTACACACCCTTCTCAAATATTCTCCACTTCCCTTGAATTGCAGCTTTCTCAGACTAGTAAATCTGAGGAAGTAATTAGTTTCTCAACATTAATATTTTACTATTTTCCTATAGATAATGAGGTATGTACCTTAGCAACATATTGGACTAAATTCTGCTTTGATTCACATTCTTTGCAACCCGATAGACTTCAATGGAATATTAGGTAAAGGTACATATAGCATATCTGAAGGCAAGGGTTTCTAGGATTCAAAACAGCCAAAAGTAGTCTTCACTAGTTTAAAATAGGCCATAAGAAAGTGATAGAATTAAAGTAGGGACTCCTCCAGAATGTGAAATGTATGACCATATCTAGCTCCAGTCTCCAGTCTTTTTTGTTTCATAGATTTCATAGACATTTGGGCTAGAAGGGACCCCTAAGGATCATCGAGTCCAGCCCTCTGCCCCAGGGGCAGGAAGTCACCAGGGATCACAGGATCCCAGCAGGATAAGCATCCAAATGTGTCTTGAAGGCGTTCAAAGTGGGTGCTTGAACCGCCTCCGGTGGCAGTCTGTTCCAAACCTTGGGGGCTTTGACAGTGAAGAAGTTTTTTCTTATGTCCAGCCTGAACCAGTCACAGTGGAGTTTGTGACCATTCGATCTTGTCATCCCTTG